AAATTTTATTATTAAAAAAAAGAAAGTTTTCATTTTTTAATCCGACTATCTGGAAAATTATATTTTCAATTTTGAATCCCAATATCTTGAAATAAATATTAGATTTTCAATTTTTAATACCAAGATTGGTGTACAAAAACTCCCGAATTTCTCTGCAAATGCTTACAACAATACTGCTTATTAGTTGCGCTGCCTTATAGACATAAATACATACATACATAGGAGCTCATTGCCAGGGCTTACCTTATAAATAGTTGTAGTTATTTGGCTCACAATTCCCATAGTAGATCGTAGTTCGCACACTTCTCCCAACATTTGCGTTGCATAATTGCTGACATTAGCGTATTGAACTCGAAACCTCAGCACCGACATTTGGAGTGCACAAATTTACAAATGTCCATGTATACATGATGGTGTTGGCATTGATTATGCACGCTACTTAAAATATACGCACTCATACATGTACGTGTATATGTAAATAGTTGTGCGTGCACAAAAAATAAAGAAATTATGCTTTTAATTTTTGTTTAACGCCAAACTTCATTTGTTTGATTAGAACTAAGTTGATTTGTTTTGGTTTCTGATGTGAAATATTTATTTTTGTAATTTATTTTTTGTAGTTTGTGTGTGTTGTCATCATTAAATCTACTATATATTATATGTTCTCTATAACATTGCTGTTTTTGTTTAATGCTTAAAATTCGCTTTGCATTACATATGTATTGGCAATTTGTAATAAACTCCTTTTTGTTCTCTTTGTTTTATTTATGTATGTATATCTGTATTTGTATAGAAATTTGTTGTGAAACCATAATACGTAATCAAACATGCATGCATGTGCTGTGCTCAAATCTCCCGTACCAAAAATGCACAAATCACATTTGATATTTAAAGATCATCTTCATCGTCGGGTCCTTCAATTAAATCATCCGGATCGTACATCACAATATTATCGTCCGTTTCCCTTGTTGTGGGATCGTCGATTTCTTCAGCTGCTACCAGCGAACCATCGTCACCATCAAAATCAATATCACTGCCGATTCTTCGGCGCTTTTGTTTAAAATTATTGGGCGCGCTATTGCTTATACGTCGGCGCTGTAATGTGGGCACAGCGGTTGTGTCCGCTTCAACGACAACGTCATTGTTTAGCACCTCTTCGAGTTCCGTTACATCTACTGATGCGGCCCGGGCCTGCTTAATGCGTAACTGTTCCAGCTCCTCGGGTGAACGTTTCTTACGAAACTCATAGACCAGCGGAAATATATGTTCTATGGCAGCCTGTACATTAGCAACACTAGCAGCTATATGGTTGTGAACAAGAAAATAGATTCATTAATAAATGATATGAGTAAAACACACTAATTTGTTTGGTCATCTCACCAGTCACAGTTATACTGCCGGTGGAAAATATTTTCAAAGTAGCCTTGGGATAACGCAGCTTATATGTGACACCGGGATGCAACTCAGGCTCGTAACTGGCTTCTTTCTTGTATCTTTCAGAGAAATTCAAGATCTTAATGGCCCATGGCATGCTGCATGTGCCGAGCACATTTACCACGCGGAAATTTTGAAAACGCACACGGAATCCGAGCTTCTCAAGACAGCGTGAATAGCGACGTGCCGCAATTTTGGCCTGGAAAATTACATATATTATTAGCAAAATATTTTTTCAACAACACCACTGTATTTCAAAGACTTTAGTGCTGCAAATTTCCCTAAAGAAACCCCCAGTACAACGGGAGAGAAGCTATTACTACGAGTTCTCAAAAAACATTAAAGAAAGTTCCTACGTGAAAGAACCACCTATGCTATAATACCGTCACAAAGGATCCCATACAAGAACTTGAATTTGATCGGTCGCTTTGTATGTCAGCTATAAGCCTTAGTGGTGGAGTGTATCGTTGCTTTGGACAATAATGTAAGCAAAGTTTCGTGAATATATCTTGTTAAATACAGAAGTTTTCCATATAAGGGCTGGATTTTTATCGATCAGTTTGAAGGATTGCTACATCCTATGGTGGGCCGATATCAAAAATTCTGACAAATAAGCAGTTTCTTGGGGAGAAAAAAAACATGAACAAATCGGTACCTCAAAAACGAAGGAGTAGTACACATTTTGGAGATTTCAGGGGTAGCCAGGTCCTTCTGCACCTATTCTTTCGAACAGAATGGAGATCTTCCTCTTTCTCTGCTTGCCACGACGGGTACAGCGTTGAATCCTCTCAGAGCTGAAGTTATAAACTCAGATATAACCTTGTAAGCGGTGTCTACGCTAAAAAAGAATACAGACGGACATGGCTAAATCGGCTCAGCACAGTGACGCATATACTATTTATCTACCACAAATGGTTTCCAACTAATAACGATTGAGTGAGATTTAATCTAGTTAGTTTAGACCCACCTGTTCCTCGGATGTGGCACCCGTACATGTAATACGACCAGATGACCAGATTGACGCAGTCGTATAAGGTCGGCGCAGTTTCATAGTCACCATGCCGTTTTCACGACGATACTCCACATTGAAGCCCTTGAGTGCGATATCGCGCAAATTTAAATGGCAACGTACACTGAATGAACAGACAACATTATTAATAACGATGTCGATTTCTGGCTCCACCTCGGGTTCAGCATTTGCAGCTTCTGCACCGGCTGTGCCTTCTGGAGTGGCTGCAGCAACTGAATTGACACTTTTGTTAGTTGCAACAGGTGTGGAGTTGTGAGGTGTGGCGGGTATGGTGCGTGAGTGGGCAACTATTTGTTTATGCTCTTGCGCTGGTCCAAGTTGCTGAGATTGAAGTTGTTGACTTTGGTTTTGGTTTTGTTGTTTAAGTTGCTGCTGCTGCTGTTGTTGTTGATGATTTTGTAACTGCAGCTGTTGTTTTTGCTGCTGCTGAAGTTGTTGTTGCTGTGGAAATACAGCCGCCGTAGGTAACGCTTTCGCAACCAATGCTGGGGTTGTGGCACTTGCCACATTGCCACTCTTATTACTATTGTTGCTGCTGTTAGGAACTAAATTTATGCCACCATTCACCATTGTCCCACTCGGTGTGTTGCGCGAGGATGCAGGCGTATTAGCTACTGTTGTTGTTTTTGTAGCAATTGTTGTCACCGAACTGCTACTGTGTACGATTGGCTTTACTAGTTGTATTTTTTGTTGTTGCAGCAACTGTTGTTGTTTAATTTGTTGTAAGGCCGTAATATTTTGTCGTTGCGGTTGTTGTTGCAGCTTCACAGCTTGAATGGCAGGAGAATGAGAATTATGATTAATTTGTGACTTATTGGCGAGCACAGCATTCGTGATGAGAGTTGATGGCGTCGCTGCAATATTTGTCGGTGGTTTATTTAAGATTTTAGCATGTTGCAAACGTTGTGTGGTGTTACCAGCAATTATAGTATTATTGGAGCGATTAATAATGATGGTACGATTGCCCGTAGCTTTAGCGCCCATAATTGTTGGCGTTGCAGCTCCAGCCGTAATACTAGATGTAGGTTGTTGTTGATTGCTAAATTGAGAAAAGTAACGTGTCGTAGGCACTGTTTGTACTACGCCTGTAGTTGCTGGTTGCTGAGTATAAACAGTAGTTGTTCGGTTAGTCGAAGCAGAGGATGTCACATTATTTGCTGCGGAATGCTGTGCGGCGATTTGCTGTTGAAATTGCTGCTGAAAACTGCTGATATTAGCGTTAGTGGAGCCCATCGTAGTTGTCTGAATGGGTTGCACAGTAGGACTTGCTGTTGCCGCAACCAAGAAGTGCCCTTGTGTGGCCGTGGCAGTACCTCCACCCGTATTTGCACTGGTTATCAGAGCTAAGCCGCCACCACTAGTTGTTACAATACTACTAATAGGAAGCGTCACCATTTCGTGAGGCATTAATACTCGTGTACCGGATGCGGCAGTTGTGGTAGCAACGGTGGAGTTTATATGTTGTTGCTGCTGTTGTTGGTGTTGCTGTTGCTGCAATAACTGTTGATATTGTTGATAGTTGATTATACTACTTGCACCGGTTGCTCCATTTGTCAGAACAATAGCCTGCCCAGTGGACAGGACTAAATTACCACCCACACCACCACTGCCCAGACCGGCAATATTTGCAGCACCACCGGCGCCGACAACGGTTGCAACCGTTGCACCTCCCACTTGTGATGTTCCCGCACCAACACCACTTACAATACTACCAACAACTATTCCAGAGTTGCCGACGCTGTTTCCGTTATTGCCATTGCTGCTGCCGTTGCCGCCGCCATTGATAAGGGTCTTCATACAAGTAGCCTTGTTCTGTTGCAGCAACGTGGCCATACCAATGTTGCTGCTGTTAGTGATATACATTTGCCCAGTCAAACTAGTGAATAGGTTTTTTGTTTCTTTCTTTTTTCTGGTGTTAGTGTATTTTCTGTTTATCTTTGATTATTGTTTCAACACGTAGAGGCTAGACTAGGTCACTTTAATGATTCCTTTTGCTCAAGTCAAATTATGTACAGTATTCAGCGCTTGTTGGATTGATATGCTTGAAGGCTGAATTTCAGCTTGCTGGTCTTATCAATTTATTTATGTACATATGTCAGTGTTATTTTAATATGTCTGTAACAGTTTTCGAAACTTTATTATGTCGTTATTCTATGCGAAATCAAAAAAAGTTTGCTATGAAGTTTTTAATGTTTGCTTTGTTTACTCGCCACTTGCTCAAGTGTGTGCAACGAAAATATTGTTGTGGCGTTTCCTGTGATTTTTCTTTTATTTTGTTTTCGAAGTAAATCTTACAGTTCAGTGTAATTTGTTCCAAATATTAGAAAAATTAAGTCTTCCTTTCTTTCTCCTTTTGTTGATGTCTCAAATGTTAGTATTTGTTGTTCCTGTTTGCAGTCTGAAATACAAAAACACATGTATTTATAGGTTAGAAATTGAATTGTATTTAAATTAAAATTCACAGTTTATTTACATTATAAGATAATTGGGATACGATTTTAACACATGTATACTTTATTAAAATTTTAACTATATTCTGGCGTGAATAAACAAAAATAACACATATACTGGCTGATAGTATACGCAGAACTGCAGCTGATCCCAAGGCTACAACAAATAAATAATATACAGGTAAAAGGATCAAAGAAATTTCGATTTCCAAACATATGTTATCGCTACCTTGATCCTTATTCAAGAGTTGCCATTATCCTCACTTCAATTCGACTTTGAAACACAATCTATTACTTAAAACGGAAGGAACAAAAATTTGGTAGTAAGAAAGCAATTGAAAGCAAAAGGACGTTAAAAAAAATATAATTCTAAAGATAATAAAGAAAATAAATAAAATATGCAAAAATATACAAATGTATCGATATTGAGCAATCATTTCAACAAATATCTTGCTAAATGTTCTTGCTATGGAAAACTATTTTAGCATATTTTTCAGTCACCTTTAACACATTGATTTATCATTTTCGTATGGAATAAAATAAACTACAAAATCAGCTTATCACCAGTGTTGGTATAAACATACATATGTGTGAATATATTACATAAATATATAAGTATGTAGATACATATGTACTTTTTCATTTGAATTCAATGTATCATTTCTGTTTGTTCCGCAAGCTTTCGTTCGAGAATCAGTGAGTACAAATCTAAAAAATACCGCTATTTTAAACATATAGGGCTAAATGTTGAGCAACGTAGTAGTGAAATTTGGTATCCAGTTCGGCCAAAAGACAACATAAAGTTTTATGGGAAACTACAGCACATAAACTGCTTTTCATTAAAAGTACATACTTTTATATATATGTATGTATTTGCACATACGTATGTATATGTGTGTGTATTACGAAAAACCATTACAAAATGTGGAAATGTAGTAAAACTAAGCAAGGGAGATCGGAAGTGAACTGTCGTTAAACAAAGAGCACGCTGCTGAGAGTGAGAGCGATACAAAACCAAACTAAGAGATAAAGAAGAGAGACTTAAACAGCTGCGAAAAGCAAAACTTTGCATGCACGTGTTTAGTGCGATTGCCTCACCGCCGAAGCGCTGTCCTCATTTCATTGTTCTCTGGAAAAATGCGCGTCATTACGCTGCTGCTAACGATCTGTGAGCGTTCGACTTTTGAGAAATAAGTAATATTCAACAAAGTCACATTTATTTATGTATGCATATGTATATGTACATACATATTCATACGCTAGAATTATAGATGTAGAACTATGATTTATTTATGTAAATACATATTTAGCACATCTACAGATGTTAATATTAACATAAAAATAATTCTACGCACACGTGTATATAATAAGTATGTAAATATGTATGTATGTATGTGTACCTTTTTCCAAGAATATGAATTTACTATATTTTTACAAGAATTTGTATGTATGTATGTTTGTATACTATATCAAAGAAATATGTATAATAAATATTAGCAGCATGTGGCCTGATTTTCTCCACAACCAATTGGCAGATATCAATTATTTATTTTTTTGTTCAAATCAAATAAAGTTTATGCATACATATTTAACGTACACATGTCATTTTTTGCTTCATTTAATAACTTACGTTTTATATTTTTGATTTGAAATAAATTAAAGCAACTGCGGCAAATTTGCGGACTGCGCAAAATACTTGCAACTGCCGTGTCTACTCTATTAATTGACTCCACACATAAGTACATATTATATACATAAATGTACATGTATGTATTTTTGTACACACATACATATGTATGTGTATGTAACTGCTATGATGCACATATTGCGTCAGCGACTGCAACCGGTCGCATGAAAAGTGTCATTGCAGCTTAGTGCTAGTCAGATGCGCCACCGATACATGTTTGTATATACATACATATGTATATGTACATATATACATATGTATGTATACTGACACAGACGACATCTGCGACGCCAACACTGTTCCACTTTATGTTAGCAATTTTGCCCTTGACCCAAAAATGCACATGCGTATGTACAAACATGCAAATAATTTTAGTTACAAATGTAAATATATGGATGTAAATACATAAGCATAAAGATCTATTTCTACGTAGAATTTATTTGAAGAAGAATTAGCAAAAACTTTTGCGGCCAAAATGGCCAAATGCATTCTGTATGGATGGATGTATGTACATACATACATATGTATGTAAATATAAAAATTTGGATATTTATATATTTTTCTATGCCGGGTCGTAGAGAAATGATGATTGTAGTGAATTTTTGGACAAAATGTTCTGGAAAAATTTGCTGCAGAAAACTCTGGGTTCGTGAGAAATTGCAACCGATCTCCTTCCTCTCTCATATCACATAAGCTTTGTAGTGATCAAGTTGCTGATAAATGGATCACACAACTTGCATATAGCACATACTCAAGTATATACTTATGTATGTATGTATGTATGTATTTTTAGATTTTAAGTAGAAATGCATAGTTCTATTTTAAGACTATCTCATGGTAGCTTCCTCACCCGACAACAATATTCAAAAAACAAATGTACATACAAAGAGAAAAAAAGCATTTACATACATACATACTTACAACAACATTATAATGCTTATTATATACAGTGACGAAATAACTTTTTCTAATAACCACTTAATAAGTCATTAACTTTTGATGAATCAGTTTATGTTAAGTATCAGACTTAGCAAAAGTTTTAAAACAGTTAAATGATTCAGCTAATGAGCCACTCATGGTTATTTTTTAAGTTTTCATCTAATTTACAAAAAGTAAATATTCATAGTTCATTTAAAGAGATAGGCATGGTTTGAATGTTGGCTTCAAACCAATTAACTACATACCATACAGACATACATATGTAAGTCAGTTTGTATATAAGCATGTAAAAAACGCCACATAGTAATTAAAACGGTAATTGGCAACCTTAGGAATCGTCGCAATAAGGGCAAGGCAATTGATAGAACAAAAAAATAAAAAGCCAGCGGACGAAAAAGAGAGTATGCTCACAAAGCACACGGAAATGAGCGCATACATCGTGCACTCAGTCAAAACAAAAAAAAGCTACCAAATGAGATTTTGACAATTATAAGTAGTTACATAAATTTATTATTTAAATTACAAAATTCGAAATTGAAAATTGTACGCTGGCGTATAAATTTGTTTAAATTACTTTATTACTTGTCTGTAGTGGAAATGAGCGAATAATTTACATGCTATATTTATCATATATTTTGCTATATTTATTTCAGCACGCCTTTGAATACAAAAAATTTCGTTTCTAATGCATTTATAGAGCGCTTTCGTCATTGTTACCATTTCAGCTGTTTTGTACTGTGTGTATTTTCAGTTTCGTTGCTCTCTGGTTTATGCTATTTTTAAAATTCTCAACCATTTCAATGACATTTCGCTTTGGGCAACAATGAAATGAAAATAAAATATAGTTTGATCGAAATTTTTTAAATAATTTACGTCTGTGTAAATTTGTACATAGAAAACGAGTACACTTGTTTATGAATTATCTTTCTTGCGCGTCAATCAACGAATTAATGATCATGTGTGTCCGTGTCCACAGCGAGTTAGGAACAAAAGTGTGATGAAAAAATGCTCATAAAACCTCATGCTATTTTAAGAGAATCACTAAGGCATGTGTTGAAATCATTTAGTTAATGCAAAGATGTGTACAAACACATATAACTATTTCATGTATTATTTTATTATTGCAAAGTAATCAGATATTGACTTGTGTTTTTATAATCGTCAAGCAATTGAGCACGCAAACGTTTATCTACAGGCAACTGCAATATCGTTTGTTTATCAACGAGTATGCACAAGCGCATTTACCTACTGGCGAGTTAATCGCAATCTAAGTGATCCACAGCAGGTTCAAGGTTAAAAGCTGCCAAATTATTGGGAGTCATGCTTTTATTGAAAGCTTTTGTAAATAGACATGGACAGCTGTTTAAAGTCTAGATTTGAGACCTGTGCGCATAAAACGTTTATTAAGATTTTTTTGTAAAATATTATAATATGCAAAGTCAATGGCTCGCCAAAGTTGACGCAATAAATAAATACATATGTACATACATACATACATATATTTGTTAAAAATTATTTACATACATATGTATGTGTGTGTATATACAAAAGTAAATCTAGCAATGACATGTCTTTGTTTATGTGAGCGCAGAACACGTAGGAATTGAGACTTCTCGAGTTCGAATTGATATTTTCTCAATTTTTCGAAAGAGTTCAATAACATTGTACTTGTTCTCTCGCTGTTTTATGTTGATTTTATTCATTTCGAAACACACAACAGCTAATTAAAGATGCATATTGCTGAATAGCCTAATTTTGATAAGACAATGTTCTTTTAAACAAAATAATCACAATAAATTGACAAATTAAAACTAGACTGAGTAATATGCAGTTTATTAGTCTGCATACAAACGTGTTAGTGGCACGCGTACAACATCTAAACACATCTGAACAGTTTGATATTTTGACGATGCTTTGGACAATGATCTATGACAAATTTCATGGAGATACCTTGGCAAATAAAAAATATTCCCATGCAAAGAATTGAGTTTAATCAGTCAGTTTGTATGAAAGCCATACATATGCTATAGTTGTCCGATATCGGCAGTTCCGACAAATTGCAACTTTTTGGGCAGAAAAGGAACAATGAAAATTTTCCAGATCGATATCTTAAAAACTGCGGCTAGCTCGACACATTACTAATTGCGCCGAGAATCGAGAGTAATAACCCTTGCGCAGTTTCGTTATGGATACGGTAGCAGAATAAAATCCTACTTTTCAAGATTCGACCCCAACATACCAAATACATTTGTTCAGTATGCAACGACTCCTCTCATGACTCTAACATTCTCCAAATGATCTGACCCCGTCTACCGTTGGATG